CTCGCAATTTTTGCAAATCCCTGTATTAACTTCTGGTAGTACGAGGCGAGACCCCTTTAGCTTCTCACATCTCGTACACACCTTGGAATTGGCCAGTTTGCCACTGCTTCAACCTTTTGGGGGTCTGTGGCCACGCCTTCTGATGACACAATGTGCCCCAGGTAAGCGACAGACTCCTGAAACAAATGGCACTTGCTGGGCTTTAACTTCAGCCCGGCTTGTCTCAGCCGATCAAACACCACTTGGAGACGTGCTAAGGTCTCCGGCACTGTTCTACCGAACACAATGATGTCATCCAAATATATCAGTAGGATTTTCCACTGTAAGCCGGCCATGACTTTTTCCATGAGCCGCTCAAAGGTTGCCGGGGCGTTGCAAATCCCAAAGGGCATGCACCTCCATCGATACAACCCATTTTCTCACAACAAATGTGGACTTTTGACAGGCGTCCTCGTCAAGAGCGACTTGCAAGTACCCCGACAAGTACCCCGAAGTCGAGTGTAAAAAACCACTTTTCCCCTCGCAATGCATCGAATGTTTCATCGATGCGCTGGACAGGGTACGCATCTTTGACAGTGACTGAATTCAGCTTTCTTACCGTCTTTCTTGTCAACCAGGACAACATTAGCTGCCCATGGACTATCAGAGGGTTCTATTACTCTCCGCTTCTCCAGATCGCTTATGTGCTCCTGGATTTCCTGCTGATGCAGGTACAGATGACGCCTCATCACCCGCTCTTTAACCGGCCTAGCATCACCAGTGTTTATGTGATGCTTGACCACGTCCGTGCGACTGATGTCATGGTCACCCCTGGACAACACATCCTGGAAGTCTATCCGACATTCCCGGACATCACCATGGTACTTGGCCTCTACTTTGGCTGTACCCTTTTCATATAAGTCTTGCAAATGCAGGGGCAACTCCTTCCCTGTGTTTGCCTCCGCGTTCAATTATCATGAATAGAACTTGCCTCAACTTGGGAGATAACCCCCGCTGTTGTTCCCTCACGGGCAACTCTTTTCTCCCTTCCGGGATTGAAGACCCGTAGCGGAACAACATCAGCTACAGTCTCAACCAGAGATCTGGCCAACAACAAGCCTTTCTTTGCTAGGTCACCACCACCTTCCACCGGTTCTACCATGGCTGGCCCGAGCAAGTCGGGACCCTTCCGAGCAATTTTGCCGGGAACCACTGCTTCCTGACCTGGTGGGATTACCGTACCGTAGTTTTACAAACTACAACGCGTCCCACGAAGGGCTCGCCTGCATCATTTGTGCACTTGATTCTCTTACTATTGAGCCTTCGCTCCCTGAATTGAAAATCCATGATTCTACCTGTTGGCACGAGAAAATCCATGCCCAGGATACCACTGTATTTGATCTAAGCAAATACAGCCTTCACTTGGTGCGTGGTCCTACCAACTTGCACCTCAACCAGAGCCATGACAAGCACAGCTAACTGGCTTCTGTCCACCTGTTTTACCTGGATGTCTACCGTCTCCAAGACGGGTCTTTTCTCTTTTGAGATTTGGTAATACACCGCACCACTTATTAGAGTGTCGGTGGGCCCCGTGTCAATCGAGAATCGACACTTGGTTGATCTTACCAACCCATACACAAACAACCCATACAGAGGACCACGGCTTGGATCAGACAGAGTAATTACTCATTTCCCATCCTCACGTTTGGACCTCCCATTTCCATTCTTGGTTTCATCACTGAGTCTACTTTTGGACCCTCTTGACCACTCAGCCTTCCCGCGGGTCCTCCGGGGGCTGACCGTCGTTTGCCTGCTTTGGAGTTTCTTTACACTACCGGGCGCAAATCCCTCTCTCACCACATTTGAAACACTTAAAGGTTGCAGGTACAGGTTCGGCTTTCCCGGGCTTTTGTACGTCTTCTGAGACACCACGCCCTTGCCTTGTCCATGACCTTTGCTCTTGTCGGACAATGACTTGACCAACTCAGCCACAGATTTCAATGTCTTGGCCTGCTCATTGAAGCTTTCCTCTAGAGTCTCTAATCTCTGCTCTGTTACATAGTCCATAGCCCTCACCAATTTGGCAGGCCTTCGGTCCAGCAATCTATGCTGTTCGACGTTCTCACAATTCTCAGTCTCCAGGGCAGCCTGGACTGCTTCGTCCAAGGATTTTGGACGGGCCCTGTTGATGCCCTCTCTAACTGAGTGGCTGTCAACGGCATCTACGAAGTGGTTCTTTGCCAACTTCTCTCGAGCCTCTTCCTGTATTTCAGGGTATGCTCGCACCGTTAACTCGTGGATTGCTTGCCCTAATTCTAGCAATCCCTCCTTCTGCTTTTGGCGCCGGTGTTTAAGCTCAACGAGATAATTCTCACTCTGTCGAGCTGACCCAAACCTACGCTCAAGCAACTCGACCAGCGCACTGTACGTGTGCTTTTGACCTGAGTCGCCCAACAACCGTAGAACATCCCCTTGCAAGCTTGCGGATAACCACTTCGCAGCTTGCTCTTCGCCCCACTGGTTTACCTCATGGTATGACTCAGAATGGCGGAAGTACTCCTTCCAGAGCATTTTCCCACTATACCGGTCAGGGATTATATTTGGCCTACAATTTGGTGGCCCTACACTTCCCTTCAGACCCAAGTCGCCATGGACACGTGCCTCTCGTTCCCGTGGCCAAGGACCTACTGACGAGCTGTCCACTCTTTCAGCCGAACTTGTGTCTTTCGACAAGACTGGTCTAGTTGCGAAACTTAGCAGATCGCTGTGCACTTGTGTAGGGTTCACATTTTCCCTATCACGAACGAACGGGTTAGTACTTGGCTTACCCTGTTCCGCGCCATCTTGCCCGGACAGGAACAGCGTCAAGTCGTCTATGACTTGACTCTCGCGTTCCAAGGCGATTGGCGTCGACCCTGCTCGGGGTTTTATCATTGAGCCTGAGTCTTTCAGAGGCGTACTTTCCATAAAGCTGGCCTCCCTCCCACGTGTGTGGGCCCAGACAGTCACCACCTTGTGTCTGACTCTCGTCTCCCCGTTGCTCCAGAAACATACCCAGTAGTCTCTTCGGGCAGCCTCAGCTCAACATCGGTATCTACCTGATGGGATATACGCCGGCTCCCACCTGGCGTGATGGTGTTCCCTCCCTTTGGAGAACCATGCACCCGACTGCATCTCCATGGCAGCTCTAACTTCTTTGCAATGAGATCTTTTTCCCAGAAATTGAGCTTCCATTCGCAGTCGCTGCACCTCGGCCTCAGCACTTGAGGTGCCCGCTTGACCCTGCGAGTCTTTGCTCATAATTGAAAACAACCACAACAATCACATACGAAAAACAACAACAAATAACCGATTAAACCACAGTACAATTAGCAATACAAGTCAAAACACAACGTGCAATCAAATAATTTAACAGCGAAATCACTTAATTAATCATAATCATCCCACTTCTGACACCATTTGTGGCGGGGATCTCCCCGGGCCAAACCTAAGTTCGTTGGACCAAGTCTGACACCTATTAAAGTGTAGCTGATCTTCCCGTACCCAAGCTTTCCCAAGACGAGAGACCACTCAGAGCGACCTCAAGGCTTAGGGAGCAGGTCCGTTTTGGAGAAAATATACCGCCGATTATGATGATTGTGATTACCCTCTGTTAATTGCACAATAAACCAACAACAAATACACCTGGACAACAGGAATGTCGGCACCACAAATATATCGTAATTTATTAAACAATAATCAAGAAATGTGCAGTAGTGTTTGTGTCTTAATGAGGTTGTTAATTATCAGGGTCACTTAATTACACTTGGGAGTTAACTGACAGCTCACCTAAGCAGCAACGTGCACAGCCAATGCGTACAATGTGTCCAATGTAAACAATGCACACTAAGTCAACAATGTACACTAATGTAAACAATGCACGGCTAAGTTCAACAACGTACACTATTAAACGCTAACAGTCCTGAATCCTCCAATTTCAATATTATTTTGCACACCCCCTAGGGAGTTAGGGACAACACACACCGATGTAAGTAATACACACCAATGCAAGTAACACACGCCAATGTAAGTAGTGAACGCCAATGTAAATAACACACGCCAATGTAAGTAATGCACGCCGATGTAAGTAATACACGCTGTTCAGCCTTAACCTGATTTACGCTTTACCCATGCAAGCTAGCGTCAGCATCGCACAGTACATTCACTTGTACGGCTGCGCGTCAGCATCATACAGCACAATTTTAGCACAGTTATGGCCAGCGCCTTTACACGGTGCGCGTCAGCATTACCCAAAACACAGAGCGCGAGCAATACACGACCTCACCGTCCGCTGTCCACAGCACAACTCCTCCGCGCGATCAGGTGAATAGCCCTCACGTGAACATGCATACGCCGTACAAACACATATGCATGTACTAAACCTATGGGCCTTTTACAACCAAAAGCGCACGTGCATTTTGGTCACTGGGCTCTTACGCTCCCAGTCACCGACACACAGTGAATTTACGTTATTGCAATACGAATGACGTAGTAAATAAACTAGCTATACGTCCCTACACTTTCCGCTACACTATCCTCACCTAATATTTATCAGACATAGTCAGAATTGTTTGGTGTGGGAACCAGACTAAAGCGGGGTGGCGTGGTGATCACCATTTGACTATAGAGAGCGCTGTTCGTCATTTGTGCATGTATGTGCAGACACACCCATACGGGCACTTTATTCGTCAATTATATTTTGCGATTTCAATGAAAGCAGTTGTTGATTGACTGTGAAAAACATTGCATATTAGTTTACATTAGGTTACATTAGGCATCGGATGGCTTTCATCTGTGTTTTTATTTCAATTTATTCCAAAGTGTTGTTGATTGGTGTGGAGAGCCAGCAGAGGGTGTGTTACTCCGGTCCCCCACCGGAACCTGATCCTGATAATCCGGATGACTGGATGAAGCAAGTCATGCAAGAGATACGAAAGCGTTGCCCGGGAAGGAGGCAACCCAGTACTCCAGCTGCTGGTGCGATGTCCCGTACGGGAGGTACGACTAATAAACATGTGGATTTGTTCTATAGGTTATACATTTATTGCATTGGGATTGAACATTCTATTTTGAATGATGTTAATTGCGATGCTGCAATTGACGTTAAACACCTGCTAATGTGCAAAATGAGGAGATATGCTTGTCGTGCTTATTTTGTTTCATGTTTGATTTTTGGCTTAAAAAATGTTATACGTTCGACTCCACCCATTTCGAAAAAAAAATGGTTTGTTTTATGCAAGTCCCCAAAGTAAAACCAGAAAAAAAGATCAACAACGGAAAAATCCGTTGGTGCATGGTCATGCTCCTAGTATTTTCATCCAAATGTAAAACGTTACTGAATGCCAATTTGGGGAGGGGGATTGTTTGCAATCATGTTGGCCCTGCTATCATTCTGATTTATGAGGTAAAATTGGAAGTTTTATTATGCGGTTTATCCCCAATCACGGTTTAGGATCAAATAATCTTTCTCACGATATAAGTGGTTTTTATTATCAATAATTATGAATAAATATTCCATTTGTTTACTCATTTGTCACCAGCGGAGTGTTCCAGTCCGCAACCCCTTGGTATGGAGGACGGGACAATCAAAGATGATCGCATCACGGCGTCCAGTGGTTACGACAATTACCCTGCCACTGATGGACGCCTCAACAATAACAACGGATGGATAGCCGGGAGGTATGTATCAAAGGGAAATACAACACCTGACACGTAACTCTCATATCCATTTTCCCTCTGTATCATTACAATGCCACAAAACGCTCCTGAATGTGTTTAATTAATGAACATCTAATTGAATCAATGTTTTGTTAATGTTATGTTTCATTGGCGGATCCAGCGGGGGGGGGGGGGGGCGCACGCCACCCCCCGGCAAATATTTAAATATGTATACTATCGGTGAAAAACGGACGGTGATCCGACGAGCCACCCGTTTTGAGTTTGAGGAAGAACAATCGTGCAAAAGGCGTTGCAATTTTCACGCACCTCCTAAGACTTTATGCGCGGGTTATGATGGCCGCACGATACGCGGATAAAACCAAGGTAAAACAAACTGTAGTGGAGTCTCATTTCGCGTATTTTTTAGCGCGTCATACGTCCATGAGACTGCACACGGGCAACTGCTGCGTACAATGAGTATAAAGTCAAACCGTTTTCACGCTCTGGGCTTGGTGACTAAACAAAATCAAACAATGGCCATTTCAGATTCTATTTAAATATTTTTCTGATACGTTTCATGCCAGTTAGTCACACTCCCCAAATATGGATCCGCTGTAATGAAATATTCAAATTCATGTCAGCTATGTGACCGAGCGCGGAACAATTACAAATTATGTACATGTTCTCAACTTAAGTCTTTGAATGCAGAAGAAACTTCATAAGAGCAAGAGTTTATAGGCCTATATGTATTTGAAACAAATGAAACAAAATATCCCCTCATAATTTTAAAAACTTTTGCCAAAAAAAATCAGGGGAAAGTGGCCAGGAAACGCCTCAGATTGCACCACAGAGCATCTACGATCCAAAATTTCCCGGGGCCTTTAAGCGGGCCACGGACCCCATGCCATAAGGGCTTCGCGCTCCGTGCTCCGCGCTCGCATTAGTCCTCCGGCCAAATTTCCTCTATGCTATAATTTTACCCTAGCAGTGCCCCCACCTTTTTGTACCTTCAGCCAATGGCTGAGGCTCGGACTGCAAGTGACCTAAATCCCTTTCCAAAATAAGAAGTTGTGAAAAAATACGGAGATGGAACATGGTTCTCAACTTTGAGTGCATAACAAACTTTATAAAGAACAAAAAAATAACACATTTAAATGGAATTTTCGATGTTTAAAACGTTTTCTAAACGGTAGAAAGTGGCCAGGAATCGCCTCAAATTGCACCACAGAGCATCTAAAATCTAAATTTTCCGGGGCCCTAAAGTGGGCCCCGGACCCCACGCCGTAAGGGCTTCGCGCTCCGCGCTCGCAGGTCCTGGACCCTTCATTACAATTCTAGCCCCCCCCCCCTTCCCCCCGGCAAACGGCAGTCTGGATCCGCCCCTGCGTTTTGTTTTATTTTGTTCAACAATCTTTTTCTTGTTTAGTTCTCTTTTTCATTATAAAACAAATATTATCCCGGCCAAAGCCCAACCCGGATGCGCATTTGAATTGCACACTATAACGACTTTCAATAACTGTGTTCGATTTTCAAATCCATTCCACAACCGGATTTGCGGAGTATTGTTAATTCATTGTTCCTCATCCTCTATTCACTCTGTGTACAGTGAGGATGCCAATCCCTGGATCGAGGTGGACCTCGATGAGCCTACAGTGGTGAGCGGGGTCATCACACAACGCTTAGCCAGTTACTTTGGGCTTGTGAAGAAGTACAAGGTGTCGTATAAGAAGCAGCCCTCATCTGACTATGAACACGTAACAGATGGAAACGGAAATATCAAGGTGGGTATCAATCATGACTAAGTCTTGCTGTAAGCTAAATTTAACTGATATACATTGGACAGTTTTGGATAGCTGTTTTGGATAGCTGTATTCTGTACGACGTTATTCGGTTCCATGCTAATGCAATCATTTATCCATTCCGAAATCGTGTCTAATTATAGCAACCAAAGAAGCAACGACAGAAAATATTGATGCTACATTCTCCAATAGAAAGGTTATTCATGAGAAAACTGCTTTAAGTAAAAAAAAAAAAGGTAAAATGCTCTGAAGCTGAAGTAATAACCCATGGAGCCCAGTCTAGAGAAGATTATATGGCTGAATATGAACTTAAAAGTGAGTCCCCACCCAGGACACACAGTTTACTTTTTATATATTTACGGTTTGTTGACATTCTGTTTGGAAGGACGACTCCCTCTGTTGAGATTGCCCGCTCTTTTAATAGTCTTGGTCTAAGACGTTACTGCAAGGAGGCTACTTTTGTTGCTAACGTGCGTTTATTGCATTGGGATTCATTTCAGGTGTTCATCGTTAACACTGATTACAACATCCCGGTCACTAACCTGTTTGATGAGAGTGTGGTGGCCACGGTAGTGCGCATTGAGCCTACTGAATGGAATGGTGGTGTTGGTCTGCAATTGGAGCTGCTTGGATGTCGCCGTGATTAGTTCAGCTGAAGCATTCAGTTGATTCTGTTCGACAGCGCTGACATTTCATTCAATGCAAAATAGATTGGACATCTATATTGAATATTGAATATTAAAAAAATTAGTATATTTGGTAAGAGGAATATATTTCAGAAAGCAAAAACAAACTGAGGATTTGGAATAATCACTAAGGGCCTTTGCGTGAATTTATGTTTTGAGAAAAGTGAAAGCGAAGTATGTGTGAAAACTTGGCCTTGTGTATCTCTTGAAAAGTTGTAGCGGTTTTCTTTTTTCTTTTTTTTTTCATAGTATTTTCGCTTTAAGTAGAAACGTCTAAACTATAATTGTGGTACTTTGTTGTATAGTAAAAACAAAATGTATGTTAAGCTGTGCTGCTATCTTCAATCATCAATACAATGTATTATATTCATACATTGTCGAAATAAAAAAAAACTCAATGAAAAGTTAAAAACGCAATACATAATTGACCAAAACAATAAACTCGCAAAATCAAAGTGAATTGTGGGAACAGGGAAACCTCTCGATAATTGAAATATTTTAGTAATCAAACTGTTTGAATAAGGGCCGGCTCATACTTCACTCGAATTCGATTGCGAAGCGCATCTGACGTTAGGAAGCATTCGCCGTGAAATTCGCTCGAGTTGAAAAGTGTGTTTTTTTCTTTTGCCAACTTACAGCGCGGCAAATTACCGTGACAACACAGACTCGCGTTCCCGTTCGCTTTTGTGCCGAGTAAGATGGGGCTTTTGCTTCTAGATGTTATTCACTGTGGTATTTTGCTGTAAATATAAGACAATTTAAGTCACGATATTAAATCATTCTACAATAATTTAGGTGTACATTTTGGTATTAGATGTGTAGTGTAATGTTACGGCAAAGAAACATTTTATTGCCAAAAATAATGTTGGTACAGTGTTGAAAATGTTTATCAATGTGATGCCTTATTGCTGTGGTGTACAGGTTAATCAGAATTCCAAAATTACAAACTTTTCGAGGTCAAATGCAGTGGAGGTTAGCGTTTGTGAATGCAGGAAGCTTTAAAAACAGAATAAAAGAGAATATTTCTCAAATATTCGTAGTTCCGTGTGAATACGGGCGATTCCCAATAGTGCGCCTCCAAGAGTTTGCAACGCGTTGGCCAATCACAATGCGCAAAATCTGTCGACCCAATGCGCGTTTGGAAAAGGTCGACTGATTTCGCGCATTGTGATTGGCCAACGCGTTGCAAACTCTTGGAGGCGCACTATTGGGAATCGCCCGTATTTCGACGAGTTATCGTAAAGAGCAGAGGCAGCCAACTTGATCTCATTGAGGGATATACCAATATTGTACATATATAATTCAAATGCTTTGTGGTTATGTTCGTATTGTGAAATAAAAATGCCTATAAAAAACCTTGGATTTAGCCTCTTTGTCTATTTTGTGCTGGATTCGTTCTGGATTTGTTCCATTTATCATTGCGATGCCATATTGCTGTGGATGTATAGGTTTTGTGGGCAGGTGTGGTCTAACGGTGGAGCACAGTATTCATGATCGTGAGGTTGTGGGTTCGAGCTCCGCCGTGGCCATGCGTGATGTGACCTTGAGTAAGGTGCTTTACCTCAATTACTCCTCTGAACCCAGGTGTTAAAGGGGTATACCGGTGTCACATGAAAATCCGACTCCTATGAAAATCGGACCCCTATTTGCATCGCGGTGGACGTTGAGGGCGACTGATTCCACATCAGTCGCGATTCTGCCGGCCCCGCGATCGGGCGCTTTGGCTATCGGGCTGTCCGATTATTGCCAAATATCTCTCCCCATAGCTTGTGTGTTGCTGGAACAAGTAGAGGAACAGTGCTGCATGCGGGAAGATTCAAGAGGAATGACCTATGGTTTATTTTGTATCCTTATGTGACCAGCCACCTTTGGTGGACTGGTTGTTAAGTTTAGTTTTTCTCTTGGAAGGGCACAACTTATATCTCCCCCCCCCCCCCCTTGTCTTAATTGCGCAATGGAATGTAGTGAGGTCTGGCAGCTTATGCCCCAGGGCAATTCCCATAGCTGACCAGGGCCTACACCCAAGACCACAGTGTAGATAGGATCACTTTGCCACTCACTTTCCCACTGAACACTGTTCCTTGAAGACCTACTGCAGATCCAGACACCAAACCTGTTTAGCTTTTGTTCCAGTACATAGCATCTTATTGGTGAGTTTTATCTCTGTCTTCTTGTTTTTATTAGGTACTTGATAGTTTATTATTAGCCTGATTGAGCTACCTTGCACCTTTTATTACTTTGGCTGGACACTTAAGGAAATCAAGTTGTTTTGTTTGTTGAGTATAATTCTGGCATAAAGAATTGTGTTCCAAATTGATTGTGATTATTTCTTGAACCGATTGTAACCAACGATCATTGCAATGGATAAAATTTGTTCACTGACCATTTTAATGATGATGAATATTTACATATATGTAGCTTTAGGATTATTAATTTCATAGATTTACTAGTAATAATTCGAGACTAGGGAGGAGACCGATTTGGTTGAGTCAGTTGAAGTTCAATCTTTAAGTGATTATTGAATGATGCCAGTGTTCCTTAGACAGTTTCCATTTTTAGTGTATTGTATTTTAACTAATTGCTGTGATTTTATTAAGTTGGAAATGCTGGAAGTTGTATGGTGTTTTGGCTGAACCTTTTACAGAAGTGTGGCGGAAAGTGTTTAGTTGTGACGTCATACCATAGCACTAACGCTTAATCACTCGTGTGCAGTGACCGGGCGGAGCTTACAAGCTCCGTGGGCTGCTGCGCGTACATGATTGGCCAATGATTCCCCATAGGTTTAGCGCACCATAGGGTTAGTACACGCACATGTTTTGTAGACATGACGTAGCGTCTGGTACATATATATAAACGCGTGCCTGGAAGCGCGCGGGTTTAGAAGTTTAGAAGTTTGGGTTTAGAAGTTCTGTTTTCAGACCTGGTTTGGGTTCTAGCGGCTTGTTCGGAAGATAATCGTTGTTAGGTGAGATACTAGTGTGTCTAGGTTCGGGGCTCAGCTGTTTTGGGTGTTGAGTGCCGAGTGTCTGGAGGTAGCGGGTTAGAGCGTAGCTGCGACAGCGGGCAGAGAAGTAGGTAAATAATATTACTTGTGCTCTGCTTATGTGAAATTGCTTAGGCGATTTGTGTACAAAGTCTGTGTAGCTGTACTGGGGTTGTGCTGGTATGTGTAGCTGAATTCTGGCTTACATACACGGCGTAGCGAGTACCCTGCTAACGGACTGTATACATTGCTAAGCGGCTGTTGTGCGCTTGTGACGCTGTGTATTGCTGACTCGGTGATTCATTCCTAGCGCTGTGCATAGTTGCTCATTGCTGCCATTGTTGTCTAGTGCTTAATGCTGTGTGCGTTGTTGCATAGGCAAGCAGCGGGCTATCTCCAGTAACTAAGGACCCTGTTAATAAAACAACCCACCGAATCACATCCTAATTGATGTACTTGATTGTTGTTGAATACATTATGATCATTGTTGTTTGAGACAGAGTTGTAATGACTCGAGTCAATGACTCGACTCGAGTCCGACTCGAGTCACATTTGTTGGCGACTCGACTCGACTCGAGTCCCGACGGGTAAATGACTCGACTCGACTCGAGTCACTACGAGCAAATGACTCGACTCGACTCGAGTCCCTCATCAGAAAGACTCGACTCGACTCGAGGAAGGCTAATAAGACTCGAGTCCCAAAATAAAAGCAAAACTTACTTGCGAAAAATATTTGCAATGACTTACGCTGCGCCGTTCGCGTTGCCAGTTTTTGTTCACGTCACGTTAATGTTCGCGAATAATGTACGTTTATATACAGCGGCAGTCTGTTTCCTTCCTCCATAATGAAACAAGAAACATACACCGTGTCGCAGACTCCCACCTTGTGGTTCTATAGCATGTAATGCTAAACCCGGAACCAGACTTAAAACGCATTTCTCAATCCGTGGTTTCATCATTGGTTTCGGGCGATTTTGAAGTTCTTGGTGGAACGCTGGCTAAATTCATGTCCCAAATTCACACAAAAATGAATACGGACGGGCCCACCTTTAAATAATCAGAAACAGTTTTGTATAATGCAATTAGGTTTTAACGTTGTCAGCGATCAGCGAACAACAAAATCTAGACCCGAAGCCAAACCAGTTATAAGACCGAAGTTTCACATCTTCTTATCTGTGACGTGAGCTAGCAATGGAAACTGTTGGTTGGGTACCATACAGCATACTTTATGTCTTTGGATTTCCGTAATAGACTGGTGCCTTGTATTCTTTCTCTCTTGCGTTTGTTGCTTTTTATTGTAATTAAGTGTTCAAATATTTGTGACTCGAATTGACTCGAGCTAAATACTTGACTCGACTCGACTCGACTCGACCACACTCTGTGACTCGACTCGACTCGACTCGACCTTGTTGACCTAATGACTCGACTCGACTCGAGTCACTTCTTTAAAATGACTCGACTCGACTCGAGTCACAAAATCAGTGACTCGTTACAACTCTGGTTTGAGATTACCGACAATTCTGCTTCCGGTGTTTGTGTTTATAGGTTTATTGTGCAATTAACTAACAGAGATAAATAATCAACACTCATTCATAATCGGGCGGTAGATTTCCACCAAAACGGACCTGCACCCTTAGCCTTGAAGGTCGCTCTGAGTGATCTCTCGTCTAGGGAAGAGCCTTGGTTTGGGAAGATTGTCTTCACCCCACTAGGAGTCAGACTTATCCTAACAGACTTGGGTTGGCCCGGGGGGGTTCCCGCCACAGTAGTTTAGACCATGTGGCCACAGGCCTATGCTTTTGTGCATGTAGTTCAGCAAGCAGTGCCTCTGCTTATCAGTTAGCTTGATCAGACACCACAGGTGGTGGGGCTCTGCTAGAAACAATGAGGCCCTTTAAGAGATTATGTTACTGTCTTCTGGAGTAAAACCCCCTTAGGGTTATTTAGCTGAGTGTGATGCTGGTGTTTAGGAAGTGAG